GAAGTAAAAGGAGGTCCAAGGTCAGAGTACCCCTATAGACAAATTATGTCATAGACAAATTATGTCATAGACAAATTATGTCATAGACAAATTATGTCATAACTTAACCAATCTTGTGGGTAACTAAAGAGCGATGACATGTAATGAATCATAGAGGTTCGTAGGAGCTTTTAGAGCTATCGTTCATGCTCCTAGGCCTCTAGTTGGTAGAGATATGTCATGTGGTAGTATGAGTGATGTCATGTAATGAATCATAGAGGGTTGTAGAGATATGCTATGTGGTAATATCGGCCCAGTAACTAAGGAGCGATGACGTGTAATGAAGCAATCGTTGAGTAGTATTGCTCTTGTTGTTGGTGTGATAAGCCAAAATATGTATAGTGACTTGTAGGTTTGAGGAGGAGATTTCTAAGTTTGCTCTTGAGTTTGATAGCAAACTGAGTGCAACGAATGTCAGTATGACAGACGATTTAAAGAACGACATAATATCAAAGTACGAATTCAACACGGAGAAGCAGGCTCAGTTCCAGAGTCTGCAGAAGATGAAATGAAGGCATTACGAACAATTGCAGGGGAATACTCGGAGGAAAATATCTATAATATGGATGAATCAGGACTCTTTTGGAAGATGATGCCATCTCGAGGACTTGCTACTCAATCTCAGGCTGGATTAAAGAAGGATAAGACTCGGATCAGTCTTGTATTTTGTGTCAACGCTTCTGGAACAGATAGACTTCCAGTCTGGATCATTGGAAAGGCAAAAACACCGCGAGCTTTACGAAATGTTAGCGTTTCAACAATGGGTGGTATATGGAGATGGAATAAGAAGGCTTGGATGAATACAACTATTATGGGCGAATGGCTTGAGGCGTTCTATCGACATATTGGCACTCGAGAAGTTCTCTTTACAATGGATAACTTTACAGCACATGCTGCTGCTCTTGAGCTTTACCCCCCTCCTTCAAATATTCATATTTGTTGGCTACCAGCTAACAGTACCAGTTGATATCAGCCTCATGATCAAGGTATCATTCAATATTTCAAAGCTTATTATCGACGACAATGGCTTTCATATATGCTTGAAGCCTTTGACAACAATCAAAATCCTATGGATACAATGAATCTACACTTAGCTATTCGATGGATTGTACGAAGCTGGAACAACTTGGTTACAAACACAACAATCTACAACTGCTTTCGAAAATCAACACTTATTTCAATGCCAATCCCTCTTCCTACAACTATTACCCCTCTTGGAATCGGAGAGCTTTATGACAAGGTAATTAGAGCTGGGAACATACAAGATGTCATGGCAATATCAAACTTTCTAAACCCGGAGGAAGAGAAGGATATACAAGATGGGATGGAGGAATTGGGACCAGAAGAGGTTTTAAATGAGGTTTTAGAGGAGCATCTAGGCCAAGGCAGTACCCAAGATGATGACGAAGAGGAGGAGCAGCTAGAGCAGCCTGTATTTACTATACAGAGTGCTCGTCAAGCTCTACAAGTTCTGATTGGGTTTGCTGAAGGTCAAGATGCTCTCAAGGCAGAGCATTTACGAGGGTTGGAGCGTCTAGAGTCTATTCTTGATGCTTTAGATCGGGATAGCAGGATACAGTCACGGCTAGATGGGTGGATTATGCAAAATTCAGTATAGCGATATATCCTATAGTACGATATGATTTGTTGGCACCGAATACATCGTCTTAGCGGCATTTGACTGTAGCGATATTATCATTATAACGATATATTCTGCTGGCAGCAAATGCATCGTTTTATCGGTGCTTTACTGTAACGTCTTCCTCTCACTAGCATCAACCTAACGGTGTAAGGCGGCATGGCATGTAGGGACGGCAAGACGGCACATAGGTCCCCAACCACAGACTAGGAGTTGGGGCATACGTATGTACATGTAGTTGAACCGTTCCCGTAACGGAACGGAGCACTTCATCGAATCAACAGCCGTCGTACCCCCAACTCCGTCCAGCCAACCCCTCCCGGCCGATCCCCGAGACCGAGTCCGCCAACGCCGACCCAGGCCCCCCCTTGGCGTCAATCTAGCGCCACGACACAGGGTGGTAGGCTCTATTTCGAAGAATTTCTGGCGACCGTTCCCTCCCTTCGGCTCCACACCACCAAGGCGGTGCCGAGGTGGTGTGGATGCGGCAGGCGCATGTGAGCTCATAGCTACTGCGGGGGCGGCCAGTTGGAGGAAGGGGATTACGAGATGTAACGAGGCATAACGAGGTATAACGAGGCATAACGAGGAACGAGGTATAACGAGGCATAACGAGAGGAGGAGTGACGTATATTGAATCCCGCCGGAGTCTAGAGTGGGCGTACCCTCCGAGGCACCGCTTCAAGTACCATTAGGAATCCTTTATAATGTACCACCGACAGTAGACATACCGAGTACCGGCATGTTGTATGGTTTGCTCGGAGATGCTGTAGTATGCAGGATTAGAGCAAGGGGCGGAAAGTACGTTGCTGGGTGCCACAGCCCTCAGAACTCAAAACGACGGTAGCTTGCTTGGTTTTGACCCTCAAAACTAGTCCACGACTTGTAACTCGGCCCCGCGTTCTTAAAGGTAGACAGGCGCCTACCTCGTAGTTTTCCTTTTCGACGTGCTTTACTCTACCTGCTATACTCTACATCCTCTTGCCACTTGCTGCATTCTTTTGTTGAAGCTATACGTTTCTATATATTATTGGTGTATATATAAGTCCGCACGCCTACTAGGCGCCTCCTCTGATATTCACCCCTCACCGTCACCACCACCACCCCTCCAACCGCCACGATGGCTCTCCCCCTCGCCTTCCTCGGCATCGTCTACCTCCTCGTCTCCTACGTTGGCTACCGCGCCCTCCAATCCGTCCTCACCAAGCGCCACAATACCCGCCGCGCGCGCGAGCTCAAGTGCCTCGACCCGCCCGCCCTGCCGTCCACGCGCATCCTCGGTATCGACCATCTGAAGACTGCCCTAGCAGCCGACAAGAACAAGGAGTTCCCCCTCGAGTTGGCACGGCGTCGGGACCAGGTTGGCGCAGAGACGTTCACGTATTCGACAATGGGGTCGACGATGGTTTTCACCTCTGGTGAGCAACCCTCCGCTACCTCCCCCACATCTACCCCTCATCCCCAACCGGAACCAGGCTAACGCATATCCCAGACGAGAAGAACATCCAAGCCATCCTCGCGACACAGTTCAAGGACTTCGTCATCGGCCACAAGCGCCGCCGCAACTTCTTTCCCCTCCTCGGCAATGGCATCTTCACACAGGACGGCGCAAGCTGGGAGCACTCTCGCACGATGATGCGCCCCCAGTTCGTCCGAGACCAAGTCTCCGATCTCGATCTCGAGGAACAGCACGTACAGAACCTTATGCGCGCCATCGTGCCCAACGCCAGCGGATGGACCGACACGCTCGACCTACAAGTCCTCTTCTTCCGCCTTACACTCGACTCCGCGACGGAGTTCCTCTTCGGCGAGTCGGTGGACAGCCAGCTCGTTGGACTACCGGGATACGTAAAGGACAGCTCGCGCGACGAGAGCCAGAATGAGGAAATCTTCGCCGCTGCCTTCGACAGGGGACAGAGCGTGCTTGCTACGCGCTCGCGCATGCAGGGACTCTACTGGCTATACAGCCCCAAGGACTTCAAGAAGTCCTGCACAGACTGCCACGCCTTCATCGACCATTTCGTGCGCCTCGCCCTATCCAAGGATCTCCCCGGCGCCGCTGAGAAGACCGCCCCCGCCGACGCCGAGAAGGGGAAGAAGGAGAAATACGTCTTCCTCGAGGCTCTCGCCGCCGAGACCCGCGACCCGATCGAGCTGCGCTCGCAGATGCTGAATATCCTCCTCGCCGGCCGCGACACCACCGCCTCGCTGACCGGATGGGTGTTCTACTCTCTCGCGCGCGACCCCGAGCGCTACGCTAAGCTGCGCAACATCATCCTCGAGGAGTTCGGGACCTACAGCCAGCCGCGCGACATCACCTTTGCGCGCCTCAAGTCGTGCCAGTACCTGCAGCACGTGAATAATGAGGCGCTCCGTCTCTACCCCGTCGTGCCGGTCAACTCGCGCACGGCGAACAAGGATACTACGCTTCCGCGCGGAGGGGGGCCGGATGGGAAGAGCCCGATCTTCATCCCGAAGGGCAGGGCGTGCGATTACAGCGTGTTTGTGATGCATAGGCGTAAGGATCTCTGGGGCGCGGACGCGGATGAGTTCGTGCCTGAGCGGTGGGAGAACAGGAGGGTTGGGTGGGATTTCTTGCCGGTGAGTTTTATATTTTTCCTATTAACTTACCCTACCCTACCCCATAAGCACTTTATCATCCCCCTCCCGCATTGGAGCCTCCTTAGCTAACGATTTCCCAGTTCAACGGCGGCCCACGCATCTGCATCGGACAGCAGTTCGCGCTCACCGAGGCGTCGTACGTGATCGTGCGTCTGCTGCAGCGCTTCGACGCGATGGAGAACCGGGACTTCAGCGGGAAGGCGCTGCATAACCTGACGCTGACGAGCTGTAGCGGGACGGGGGTGGTGGTTAAGCTGCATGCTGCGGCGGAGTAGGTGGTGAATAGGGATGGATGATACGGGTTTGGGTAATAGGGTGGGATTAGGGTGGGGTGTATGAATATTACTAGGTTTGGGATAGGTATCCGTTACATGAATTGAAATGACTTACATGCTTGCTTGCATCACGCACTGCTGTCCGTCGTGAAGGTCTCATCGCTCCCTCTGCGGGACTCTGTCGCCCCATCACTCATCACACAGTGCCTTGCTGTGCTGTGCAGTTGGTTCCAGCACAAGCACGGTAAAACGACTGTCGTCGGCCCTTCCCCGCACACTCCGCAATAAGGAGCCTCGGCGTGGCGCTGAGAGGCGTTTACTTGCATGCATTGGGATGGGGAGATGCGATTCGGTGTCGGGTGCCTGTAGGTACGCTAGAAGGTCTCACTTCACTGACAGGTGATGGCCATGAAACTGCTGGGCGAGATCAGCGATGGTGAGCTGTCCTTCGTGCATGTCTACTCCGTAACTTACTGTACGCGCATACGGACATTCATACGGTTCTAACATGGCCCGTACAGTACGCACATACGGACATTCATACGGACATTCATACGGTTATAACATGGCGGCTGCTCCACGGCTACAAGTACGGTGTTAGATAGGGGACAAATTCGAGTTTGCAAATCGCCGGTTCAGTCCATGAGCTCATCCAGATCAATCCCCCACCAACATATTGTATCTCTACCTTTGCGCTAACCCGTCACTTAATCCTCTCTACTGCGGGGGTGGCTTGGTCTAATCTCGTGTGCCCCCGATCCTTATAAACTGTCCCGTCCGTCTCACTCCTTCTGCACACTCCAAAGCTCTCGTTGTACAGACTCCAGACATTGTAATATCACATCAATTGCACAAGCTTCATCACCGTCTCACCAAATCCAAACCATCAAAATGCAGTTCTCCCACGCCCTCATCCTGGCCTTCGTCGCCTCCGTCGCTGCCCAGACCGGCACCATCGAAGGCGACGTCGCTGCCCTCCCCGACTGCGCGAAGAAGTGCATCGACAAGGCCACGCTCGATGCGGGCTGCAAGTCCATCACCGGTTCGTTCCGTTCCTCCCGAGTCACCTCGCTCCAGAAATGAGGGGCACGAACACAGCAGACGCGCAGCATACTGATGCGCCACAAAACAGACTACACCTGCCAGTGCGGTAGCGCCCACAACACGATCAACAACGCGGCCGCGCCCTGTGTTGCCTCGACCTGTGCGGCCACTGATCTTACCAGTACGTCCTCCGTCACATTCCCCAACTTCCATTCCCTCCGACTCAAGCAAGAGCACGCCCGCTAACCCCCCATCTAGAGGTCCTGAGCCTCACCGCTGAGATCTGCAAGCTCGTCAACGCCGGCGGCGCCAGCAGCGGCAGCGGCTCCTCCGCCGCTGAGCCCTCCTCTGCCGCGCCTACCTCCGCTGCAGCCTCGACTGAGATGTCCTCCGACACCGCCAAGCCGACTGGTACCTATGTGCCCTCCTCCACCGGCGGCGCCGTGGCCCCGAGCAGCACTGGTGCTGCTGCGCCTACCTCGAGCAAGGGAGCTGCGGCCACTGGGTCGTGGAACTTCGCGGCTGTGGCTGCTGGTGCCGGTGCTGTGGCTGCCGGCCTCATGTAGATTGAGGTTGTGTGATAATGTGGGGGATGGGGAAAAGTTGGGGGGGGTAATTTGGGGTGCGAGGATGTAATGGACTGAGTGTTCACTCAGTTGGTGTAGGCTTTGGTTGATTGATGGATCGAGAGATTGTATATGTGCTTCTTGAGCTCCTTGGATTCTATCATGTTTTGGTATCATGGTCGGCCAATATTATGACCAGTGAAAAGATTGTGACTATTAAACAGCATCCTCACTTGTCGTACTTGCCTCCATTAACATCACGACCACGACAGCTCCTTCCGCGCTCAAATCTTGCCATTGAGTCTTCATATTCAGTATAGGGGCAGCTAGGTATATATATACTATTTATGCATCCCGCACTTTGCCATCCCGTCTCTCCTTCATCTCCCTCCGCCTCCCCAACGCGATATACTGCCCAACCTCTCTCCACTACTGCCACCCAACCCCAATCTCCAATCCCCAGCTCCAAATTACCAATCTCGACCCAAATCCACAATCCCTCACTGCGCCCTCTCCACTATCCCGCAATTCGCCAACCAGTCATGCCAGACAAACCTGCCAAATCCCTTATTCCCGGGCCATCCTAGTCGCGGGAATAACGCGGAAGTGACGGCCTGCCGAGGCGCATTTCTAGGCCCCATCTTCGGTCAACAACCAACAAGGAAAATTGTCGTTCGTATTGGGGAATGCGGTGAGGATGGCGACGAGGAGGAGGAGGGAAGAAAGAGAATAGGATGAAGATCATAATGAGATGGGTATGTTAGAGACCTGAAGATGGGGAATCTTCCGCTTATAAAAGGCACCATTGTTTGTGGTGGTGGGAGTAAGTTAAGTGCCGGACGGTGGGTTAGCTTCCAGAATCATTTCTCCACACTCCATCCCCCCCTGAACCACTTCCAGCCCATCCCAATACTTATCGCGGCCTTGGCCCGATGTTCGGCCCCAGGGGTTACGGCTGTGGGTTTATGGTATGGGTAATGTAATGCATGGGGAAGGTAGCTAAGAGTGATTTCTTTGCTTAATATCTCCCTGTGCCGCTCTCCTCCTCTTGTTTCCTGCGTTTTATCATTACCTAGCAGGCATCTTGCTATAGTTGCGACGGAAATAGTGCCTGCTAGCTGCGCCTATTCTCAGTCGATCGCCACACCACAATCTCTGCTCTCGGTGCAGATATTTTTCTTCAAGACGCGCAGATTTAATGACAAGGAGACTGCACAGAACGTCCTGTCTCTCGCTCTACTACATACCATGAACCCCAACCCAACTATCACCATATAGCACACGCCCATACAATGTCGACGACAACGCCCGTCCCCCCGCTCCCCAAGAGCTCCCAAGACTCCTCCTCCACAGACTCCCCAGCCAGCAAGCGCCCTCATACCCCAGAATCCGGGCCTCATCGGCCATCCACATCCAGCTCCGCCCCCACCATCCGGACCACCGCTGGCCCCGCTGGCCCCGCTGCTCCCGCCTTAGCAACATGCCTCTCTCACTCGCATGACGCTCCCCTCGCCGCGTACATCTCGCATCCCGCCATCGATGATGCTATCTATGACAGGCTTACCCCTTACCGGAAGCACATCATCGTGGCGCTGGTCTCGTACTGCAGCTTCCTGTCACCGATGGGGAGCACGACGATCCTGTCTGCTATCCCTGAGGTGGCGTCTGAGTATAACACGACAGGGACTGTGATTAATATCAGTAGTGCACTGTATATGCTGTTTATGGGGATTTCGCCTTGCGTTTGGGGACCTGCAAGTCAGATTTTTGGAAGGAGATGGGTAGGTTTTGTTTTTCTACCCTGGGTTGGGCTTTGGATGAAGGAAGGTCAAGGGTTGCCGAGAATAACAATTGTTTATCGGAACCCATTCGTCAAGTGACTGTAGGACCGTAGGCAACCTTTGGACCTACGCCTATCCGTTCCCCTTATCCATCAACAACCCATCGAAACAAATACTAACAACCCCAGGTCTGCATTTCTACCGCGTTCCTCTTCGCTTGTTGCTCCCTAGGCACCGCGCTCTCCCCCAACCTCGCCTCCTTCTTCGTCTTCCGTATCCTCACCGCCTTCGAAGGAACCTCTTTCCTCATCGTTGGCGCCGCCGTCCTCGGCGATATCTACCGCCCCACTGAGCGCGCCACTGCCATGGGCTGGTTTCTGTCCGGTACCCTCATCGGCCCCGCCCTCGGCCCCTTCATCGGCGGCATCATCGTAACTTACACCTCTTGGCGCGTGATTTTCTACCTCCAAACCGGACTCGCAGCCCTCGGCACAGTCCTCGCCTATTTCCTCCTCCCCGAGACCATTCACCAGACCAAAACACACCTCCTCGCCGGCCTCCCGCTACGCAAGCAAGCTTCTGTGCTCGCGCGCCTCACGAACCCATGGCGTGTCCTCGCGCTGTTCAAGTACCCACCCCTCACTCTCATCTCGCTCTGCAGTAGCAGTCTTGTGTGGAACATGTACAGTCTTCTCACGCCAATCCGCTACGTGCTAAACCCCCGCTTTGGACTCACAAGTCCTATGCAAGCTGGGTTGTTTTACCTAGCACCTGGTGCGGGGTACCTCGCTGGCACGTTCGTCGGCGGGCGCTGGGCTGATCACACGACGAAGAAGTGGATTAAGATTCGTGGGGAGCGCGTTCCTGAGGACCGCCTGCGGAGTGGGATACCGTTTCTCGGCATTGCGATCCCCGCCTCGGTGCTGATATACGGGTGGAGCGTTGACCAGTCCGTCGGCGGGATCCCCGTGCCAGTGATCTGCCTCTTCGTACAGGGCGTGGCGCAACTCTTCTGTTTCCCGAGTCTGAACACGTACTGCCTTGACGTCTTGCCAGAGTTGGGTGCGGAGGTGATTGCGGGGAATTATATGGTTAGGTACCTGTTTGGGGCGATGGGGACGGCGGTTGTGTTGCCGGCTGTGGAGAGTATTGGGGTTGGCTGGTTTTCGACTATTACTGCGGGTTTTATGGTTGTTGCTGCGCTGGCGGCTGCGGCGACTGTGAAGTGGGGGAGGGGGTGGAGGGATGCGGTTGATGAGAAGAGGAGGACGGCGAGGAGGGAGAAGGCGGAAGCGGAAGTGGAGGTGTAGGGGGAGGGAAGAGGGGAGGTAGGGGTGTGAGAGGCACAGCGGCGGAGGGTGATGAGAAGGTGTGAGGTGTGAGTCAGTTGTGGGCAGTTTTTTTTGGATTTATTGGCTCACAGCATAGACTGGAGTTCGGGATACCACAAGTTAGATGGTGTTGCTGTGATCATATATAGACTGCATATCTAATATAATATAGGAAGAAGTGTAATGGAATATCTACATACAGGTCGACTGGTCTACCTCAGAAAACTCAGGACCGTTATACCGAGGTAAACCTCTAAACGCGAGCCACGCCAGAGGGTGCAACCCAAGATGGGACGGCGCCAGATGGAGGAGCACCACCAGTCGAGTTTCCATCCGGTCCACCACCACCACCCATACCCTAATTCGCGTTCGCTACGCCACCATTCTCCGTCGGCGTCGAGGCAGGCGAAACGGTGAACTGCTGGGTAAGATCCACCCCAAACGAAACCCAACCAAAGATACCATCCGCAATGTGTCACCAATCAACGAGTACTCCACCACGGGATCCGACGTCGCCGCCTCCTCCGAAAAGATAGAGTCCTCAGCATTGGTAGTCAGCGGCTGCGTGTTCTCGCCATACGCCGCCACCGTGTCGACCTGGGAGATTAAGTCCTGGTCGAAGAAGATCTGGCCGATGTGCGAGGCGGTGTCGCCGCCGTAGGTGCTGTTGCTGAGGATGGAGCCGCTGAAGTGGGCCAGGACGTGGATGTGTGGGGCGCGGCCGGTGTAGTGGCCGGGGAAGACGGTGGTGCCTCCTTCGTCGAGATGGACAATCCCTGGCTTATATTATGGAGGAGTTGAAGAAAGTGCCCCAGGAATTGAGTAAAGTTTACGAGCATATTCTCAGCGAAGTTATAGAGCTTCGAAATCGGCCGAGAACCTTGCTTCTGATGCAATGGATCTGCCTAGCAGAGTCCCCTCTCACTGTGGCAGATATACGGTTTTCTATGGCGTCAGATGACGCTTATATCGATGAGCGACGGCAATCTTGCAGCGATTTGAAAGATTTCGTGGGGAGTGATGAGCGCATGCAGAGATTGATCACCAGCATATCCGGCGGCTTAGTGGAGACTATACGTCACAAGCACAATGGTTTTGTTTGCGTTCAGCACATTGATCAACCCGTCAACGATGGTTCTATTGTACAGTTTATTCATCAATCTATTAAAGATTTTCTCTTGTCAGGAGGACTGAAGTTTCTCGCCCAATATCAATATACCACGGCTCGGATGACAACGAGATCTCATCGTCGGCAATCATTGGCCAAAGCCACGATCGGTTATACATCGTGTATCAACTACCTGAAACTTGAAGATGTTTCCATTATATATGATAGTTCTTTCCGCTATCGAATACGGGGCCCCTCTCAACCGTTTGTCCGATATGCCACGCAGTACTGGCTGGTGCATGCAGAAGAGGCTGAACAGTGTGTAAGATAGTATAAGTTACGGCCCGTATACTGCCAGGAAATGCACATGCCAGCATAAAGCACGCGCGTGATAGTTGCTCTACCAACATGATAATAACCTCAGTAACACAATGTTTATTTATCTCAAAATTTCCTATTTGGGACCCACTCAGACTCTATGATGTCAGGAAAAGTGCTTGGCACTATACGGGTTCATACTATTTAACACACTGAGGCTGAAAGCTATGGGGTTTCGCAAAAATACCTTATTCAGCGCCTAGGACTCCGTCCAGATCAAGTTTTCTTTGATTGGGAACCTACCTATCGAAGGATCGGGCCCCAATGGGGCGTTTAGGCCATCGTTACTAAACATTGCATCTATTGCAAATATTCGAAGTGTTGCCATCCAAATTCTTGAAGCCGATTCGTTGAGGATAAATGATCGAGATTTCTATTGGAACGTACCATTATACTATGCCAGAATTTATGGTCATTGGGAGTTAGTTAAGGTACTCCTAGATGCCGAAGATCCTACAGGGGTCATTTCTAAGGACAGAGCCACAAAAGCTCTTATTGCTGCAGTTGAACAAGGGCACGAACAGGTTGTAATGCAACTATTAGGACGTGGCGCAGACGTCCGTGTGAACACCGTGATGGCTGGCAGCGCACTCGTAGCAGCTGTAAAAGCCACGACTCAGACTTTACCTGCGGATAGGGATAACATTAGGCATATTGGTACGAGGAAATATGCCAAGAAAGCAAGGCCCATGGAGGATATCTATTGTTATCAAATTATTGCTCGATCATGGGCCCGACGGAAACTCACGGGGGGATGATAACCTCACAGCCATACAAGAAGCGTCGTGAACACTGCAGCTGTTGCTATGTTGCTAGAGAGGGGTGCAGATGCGAATGCTAGTTGCGCTTTTTACGTTCACGAAAGAAATTTCAATGGAATGGTATCCCCGCACCCATGAGTTGCTATCCAAGGAAATGAATTACAGCGTAGTACATGCTGCTGTAGCCTTAGAAAATAAGGATACTGCAGCCGCAGTCACAAAATTACTGTTGGAAAAAGACGTGAGTGTCAACGAAGCCAATATGGATAGCCTCAATGAAAGGAAACATTCCTGTGGTAGAGTTGCTGCTCAAATATGGAGCAGACGTTCACGAGTTGGGAGGCTCTCTTCTCACCCTACTGCAACTGGCTTCAGCACAAGGACACTCAGCACTCGTTAAATTTCTACTTGAGAAGGGGACATCCGTCAACTTGCAGCAGCACGGCTCGACTACAATTAGCCGCATAGCGGTCGGATACAAATCTGGTAGGGTCGCTGTTCAGGGAGGGAGTCTGTCACAGAATTGCAGACACTGTCGGCAAATTGGATGCGGTGGGTGAGTGATCAGCTCATGCCATAGTTGCTCGAGAGTTCAATGAAGCCCAAATAGCAGCAGCGCAGCTTCAATGAAGAGCTTGGAGAGAGCGTAGAAGCCGCGAAGTTGGAACTGAGCGTGGAAACCGCGAATCTGCTTCTTGATGATGCTAATGCGGATATTGCTTGGCCTTTCCATCTTTTCCCAGTGATATGAACAGCCTCAATAGCAGGTAATACTAGAGTCGTTGAGCTGCCCAGCAAGCGTGGGGCTAATAATGCCGAGTTTGGGCTACAAATCTGGAGTGTGTGCGGCGGGGATTAGGAGCGGAAAGCAGCAATGCGACGGTGACGCGGTGATATAACATCCCCAGAGATAAATGGAAAAACTAAATGGAGTTGGTAGGCAGACCGTTAGGGGGAAGGAGCTTCCCTCTTATTTTATAACTTTCATATGAAGCGAAGCTCCCCCCAATTGGCAGACAATTGGCCCGTGCACGCGCATTGGCCGACCGGGCGGGGCGGAGCGGGGCGGCGTACAAATACTCGAGTACATATGTTTTGTAGACAACACGCATCACTTAATCTGTGTAAACAACGTCCAATCCACTTCCCAACATGTCGGACAAAGCACCAAGTGGCGGCAGCCATCTGACGAGCGACATCGACTTCATCAAGACGCCCAAGGCCGCCCCCGGATCCTTTGACACCGGAGAGGATTGTGGCGTGAAAACCACGGATGTATGTTGTGTGCCAGCTAACCCGGCTCTTTCGCGATGCCCTCAGCTAATTCAATTGTTTGCAGTCGCCCGCTATCCATAACCCTCCGCTTCCAGCAGACGGCGCCGGAAATGAGCAATTCAGCAACATCATCTTCGCCAGTGTGCTCCTTGGAGTGCCCACATACTTGGCATGGAAGGTTGGTGGTGGGCTGAAGACAACCATCTTCTTCGCCCTCATCACCTTTGTCCCTTTGCTTCTGGCATTCTGGACGGTCATGTCCACCTACAGCCCGCGAATCAATGAGAAGGTCAAGCTTCCAGGGCGCCCAGTGGAGCACTACCTCACATTCAAGAAGGAGGCCGACCGTGCCCGATTCAGCGGCAGCAGCAAGGTGCCTATGCAGACTTTCTTCGAGTTGTACTTCAGCGGCGACGTTGACTTCAACGGTGACTGCCTTGATATCATGGAGTACCGCCACGACTGGGCAACGTTCAACTTCACCTGGGACCTGTTCCGCTACATCCTCTTCACCTTCGCACCGGATGTCATTCTGCACAACCGCTCCCAGGACGACGAGCAGGTGCGCCCCAACTATGACCGTGGCAATGACCACTACGCCTGGTTCCTGGGACCACGCATGATCTACACGTCTGGTGTTATCTCGGACATCACCCGTGAGGAGACTCTCGAGGAGATGCAGGACAACAAGATGGCCATTGTGTGCGAGAAGATCGGCCTCAAGGAGGGCGAGACCATGCTCGACATTGGCTGTGGCTGGGGAACGCTCGCTAGGTTCGCAAGTGTCAACTACGGCGCAAAGGTCACTGGTGTCACTATAGCTGGCAACCAGACCGAGTGGGGTAACGACGCGCTCAAGCAGGCTGGTGTCCCTGAGGAGCAGAGCCGTATCCTTTGCAGCGATTACCGCGACATTGTCAGCTCCAAGTTCGACAAGATCACGCAGCTCGAGATGGCTGAGCACGTCGGCGTTCGTCGCCTTACCACCTTCTTCCGCCAGTGCTATGGCATGCTCGAGGATGACGGATCCATGTACGTCCAGCTCTCTGGCCTGAGAAAGTCGTGGCAGTACGAGGACTTCATCTGGGGCTTGTTCCTTAACAAGTACATCTTCCCCGGTGCGGATGCCTCGACGCCACTCAGCTTCTACATCGGTTGCCTTGAGAGCGCCGGCTTCGAAGTCAAGAGGTAAGCAATCCGCCCAACTAACTAGGTGACGACAGACACTAACTCGGACGCTACAGTGTTGATACCGTTGGTGTCCATTACTCGGGCACTCTCTGGAGGTGGTACCGAAACTGGCTCGGAAACGCCGAGAAGGTCAAGGATACCTACGGCGAGAAGTGGTTCAGAGTAAGTCGCGCATGCGTCTGTTCTTCGCCAATACAGAGACTAACACACTTTAGATCTGGGAGTTATTCCTGGCCTACTCGACCATTGCTTCGCGCCAGGGTTCCGCAACCTGCTTCCAGATGGTTGTTGTCAAGAACCTCAACTCGAGCCACCGCATTGACGGCGTTCACTCCCAAGACGGCCTCAGTGGCGCGCTCGCCAGAAGCAAGGCGGCTGGCAAGGCTACTTTGGCTAAGTAGGTGTCCAGACAGGCGCAGGGAAGGCAAACCTGGCCAGAAGCAACGCGGCTGGCCAAGAAGCTCGCCTGGCAAATTGGATATCCGGACATGTATAGAGAGGGGTAAACCGGCCAGTCTTATTGCCCTCGGATGTATAGCTTAAATGTTTGAACACGCGTATTCTAACTAGTTTATTACGATAACTGCTATACTTGGCTTTCTAATATTCAGCAACCAAGAGCTCTGGGCCCCCAACTCTATCTAGATAATAGTGTACGCCCATTCTCATCTATACAACCCGGCCAATTGGCCAACTATTTGTGTCATCCAGTCTTCTATCCCCGCATACCAAAAAACCCGCGTAGAAAACAGAAAATCCCAGACTACCCTCTAAAAGAGATCAGTATAGTATCCCAGCGCGGGCTGTTTGTTTCCCGTAAACGTCTCCGACAGGCTATCAAGCGCAGCATGGTGCTTCGCATACTCCATCCCCCTCGCATTCTCCGCCTCCACCATCTTCCAATCCCACCCCGTCACCGCCGCCGCCTCCTTCGCAGCGCCATTAGCAGCACCATTAGTATGACCATTCGCACTCCCATTCCCCAACACCTCCTCCTTCCAATTCGGTATCCCCAAAAGCGACAACACGCTCTCCTCCCCCCCCATCTCCTCCAACCCCTCCCTCTCCTCCACAACCTCCTCCTTTTTTCCATCCATCGTGTTCCACCCCCCCGGCTTCGGCGGCAACAAGTCACACATATCCAGCACAGCCTCAGGATGCACCGTCAACCGGCCAACTTTCATGACGTACTTGCTAATCGCGCTCGCGAAGATGGCGCCCTCCGGCACATCCGGCGGCGGCGCAGCAACCCTCGCTTTCCTCGCCCGGCGCTTCGTGCGTAGGAAGCGGGGGACAAAATTCCAGTCCGCGGGATCATCTAGCGTCCACCCCGCCGGGCGCGCCGTGCCCGCCTTCACAAAATGCGTAGCAACGTAGAGCCACTTCCTGTCCCAGGCGAGCATACGCGACCACATCTCGTACTTCTCATACGGGCGAATCTCGCGCTTAAAACTGCAGTGTGCGCCACCTAGCATGATTCCCCATGCGCCCTTGGCGGGCTTGCCGTCGGGGCCGATGATGAGGGAGGGTTTGCGGTGGAATTCGCGGATGGCGACGTGCATGAGTGCGGCGATGAGGTGGGAGCGGGTGACGTCGAGGTCGGAAAAGTAGGTGCTGTTTGATTTGTGGAGGTTGTAGTCGCATTCTGAGGCGGGGGATTGGGCGGGGGTGATGCAGGGTTGGAAGAGGGCGGGGAGGTGGTGCGGGGAGGAGAGACCGGAGGTGGAGGCGTCGAAAGGGGGGGCTTGCATGTGGCTTAGGATGCCGTGCCAGACGCGTATCTGGAGGGGGGGGTTAGTGAGTTGCGTAGGGGGAAATTGGGGGGGGGGGACACGAACATGCCACACGAAGGGGAAGTTTTTGTAGTTTGCGAGCACGACGGCTAGGGCGAGGATGCGGGAGTAGTTCCCTGGCCCGGTGAGAAACCTTGTGACGAAGGGTCTACTCTTCCATGCGCCGACGGAGAGAGCGGCTGCCAGGACGGCGGTGATGCTTCTCAGCGGGAGGCGGGAGGCCGACATCCTGCGCTGTGGTTGGGGCGACGCGTCGGAGGACGAGGGTGGTGAGCGCGCCGGCGATGGCGGTGATGAAGACATAGATCCAGAGGGGGAGATGGCGGAGGGAACACAGGAGGGTTGTGCCGCAGATTGGCATCCGTAGGCGGTGCTGACTGGGGGGCGATATGGGGATTATATTGTGCGGTGGTGGTATGGATATTTTTGTGTCAGCCCAGTTCGGGTACCTCGGGCTTTACGCGGTCAGTTACAAGGGTATGTGATATTCACATGCGTTGCGGTTTCTGGGGTCGCGTCGCCGTGCAAGCGCGTTTCTGTTGGGACAGTATGGGGATGATAAACCTATAGAAACTAAAACTCAACGGTTTATAGTTGATGATGTTTATGATGTCTTAATGCTGGATTGGGGGTGGGATTGGGTGAGAAAAGTCAACAAAAGATTTTGCAGTCCACGGGCTAACCATCAACAGCAAGATATCTCGAACTAGTTCTGCATCTGGTATATCTTTGACCTCGGCAAAATAAGATAACGTGACCCTTTAGGACACTATGCGTCGCTTCATAATCGATCGCAAGTTGTTAGCATCAAGTTGGTGGACAATACTACGCGCTCGAAGTTGCTCTAACGCAAGCCAGCACCACGGTACGCTTAATGTTCTGATGATTGCATACATCAAGCCGCGCCTGTATGTACGCCTTCATCCATTCATACTTCTATATGCGTGCAAGTTGCGCTTAGTTGAGTAGGGAGAGCGCTGCCGTTAGACGCTTTATTATCACCTCTTGTGCGGCTCTCAATTAAGGTTTCACGTCCAGCAATACCCAGATGTTCGCGACGATCCATTGTTGAGTTATTTACAATTATCTGAAGTTGGTAGGGTAAAACCACCACGTTACCTAGGGCCCCGCATTACACCGTCACGTCACGTACGCTACTCTAAAACACAAGCCCCGTCCTGCTCTTCAACCTATGCCATTCTCACATGGCATCCCTCGACAGCTCACGCCGCGCGCCGAGCAGTCGTGCTCATCAACGTAATCTTCTTGCCTTTCTTCTTCTTTCCTCCTCCTCCATTCCCTGCCTTAGGCGCGCCTCCACTCCCCTCACCAACCTCATCCGCCAAGCTCGCCGCCTCAACCTGCCGTATCATCGCCTCATTCTCCTCATGCAGCTCCTTCTCCCAGTCCTGGAGCCATCCATCATTGCCACTCTCCTCATGTGGCACTTCATTCCCATCCGTAGGTGCGAACACCGTAGTTCCCCACACCGTACGCTTCTGTGGCGGGCTCGTTCCCGGAGAATGATTTGCCAGGCTCTCAAATCCCGGGCGATGGTGTGTAGCATATGGCGGGCTATTCCCAGCTGTTCCGTCCGCATTCGCCTGTTTGACAAGCGGGAGGAAATCCGCAGCGCCAAACCGCTCCTCCGCAACGGGTGTGGAGAATTCCTGGCGCTTCTTTCGGACGTTTGCCCAGCGCTCTTCGTCCTCGAGCTTCTCGGCTCGGACGCGCGCTTTCTCCTCTCGATTCTCCTTCTCGCGGTTCTTTTCGCGGCGACGCGAGATATCCTGGGCGAAGTTGGCGAGGACAGAGTCGGGGACTACGTCGGTCCAGTTACATTCCAGGAATGAGACTTCGCAGCCGTATGGGAGGTGGGCGAGGTATTTTGTGCGCTTGCGTAGTTCGTCGTCGATGATGTGGCCCGTGGAGATGTGCTCGACACGAGGGAGAAGGGTTGAAGGGAAAGATGAGAAATTGCCAAAGGCAGCTTTAAGTATGCGAATATCGAGGGGCGCAAGATAATAATGCTGGAGACCCTGGTAGAAGTAATATGGTGCATGAGGCTGTGCTGGCAGATTGTGAGCTTGAGCGCTGTGAGCTGGAGCGTTGTGGGCTTGCGCCTTGTGAACCGAATTGTTGTGTGTAACTCCCGACTCGTTCAAAGAAAGGTGATTGAAAGCATCGGCTACGGGGTTCAGGCGATGTTGGCCGGCAGTATTTGATAGTTTTGATGGTGCTTCCTCCGTGGTGTTCCCAGAAGGGGTGGAAACAGGAGCAGCTTCACCATCATGAAGTCGGATCCATGTCGTTGCCGATTTCTCATCTTCGGTTTTGGGTTCCTGAGCCTCCTGAATCTCGTGCTCCTTTGCGTGCCTGGCTGGCTGCTTCGATATAGCCGGAGCATTTCCCATGCCCTTAATGTGCTCTTTCGCCTCGATCACGCTCCTAACGGCCTTCTTGGCCCAAATTGTCTCATCGCCAAACATCAGCTCGTCTTCCTTCTCTTGCCGTTTCAAGTCGTCAATCTCCTTGTCAAATTGCTCAGTCATATATTCCTCCGTGCCTTTCATAACGCGAGAATAATCCGTGACTTCAGCAGCAAAGTACCATGGGATGTCTTCCAGCCTCCCCATAGATTCCGCCTCGTCCCTTGGTAGGGTCAAGGTGCTACCCGGTTGACGCATAACCAATCGAAGGATGACATCCTCTCCCTCCTTCGGCGCCGGGTTTTCCTGGCCAGTAAACCACCTTACTGGTCTAGTATCAGACATATATATGGAGTCCCAACAAAGAGGGCATTTCTTCCATCTGGTCTTTTTCTCGGGAGCTTCATCGTCGGTAGAATGCATATACCGAATCAAACATGGTAAACAGAATATATGGCCACATTTCGCCATCCGAGGCGCTACAGGATGTGATAGACATATCGGACAAAATGAAAGTTGGGATTCTGCAGACACGAGGATCTGCAGTACGCTGTCCCAGTCGAGTGGTGTATCAGCGTCAATGGCTTGTGCTCGGTAGTGACCGGAAGGGTGTACGATAAAGCGGTAGTTGGCATGGATATATCTGCGCCTAAAGTCAGCTTTTCCTATGATAGCGGCAACAACAGGGTTGCATACCTCGCCTTGTCAGAAGCATGATAGCCAGATCCTAACCCCGACCTTGTATATCCATATTCCCTACCACTAGACCTTGGATACACCTCTGCGCTTGGTCGAGGTGGTAGCGCAAAGTTCATCAAATGCGTGATGGAGGTCTGGCCTCGTCGGCTGGTTGAGTTCCTCATTGCAGACTGGGTCCGTTAGCTGGGCCCTTCTGTCTATTCCATTGTATAACTCACATTTTCAGCATAAGCATCATCCCCAAGCAGCCCCCCTGGTCGTCTATGCTTCTTATGGTTCTTCTTCGAAGACTGGTTGTTCCGAGCAGGACCGTGGGTCGTATTCGAATGAGCACTGCTGGAGCGTCTGGTGCTGGATTCGAAGCTGGGGGACGACGGGCCCTGCTGTTGCTGTTGGGGAGTGGTTGTCTGTGCGGAGGAATGATTGAGTTTTCCTCCAAGTGACGCTCCAGGTTGCGTGGAATTCATTCTCGTTACAGGTGCATAGGAGCAGACAGGCACAGTTTCTCTTGGACGTGGGTATGTTTGTCTTGGGCGGAGGTCTCCAGCAGAAGGACAGAGGGGCACGGCTTGTCTCTAGCGGAAGATCTTGTCTTGAGCGGCAGTTGCTTTACGCAACCGAGATATTGACTCGGGAAGCAGAGAGTAAATCGTAGGTATCAGAGGAAGAGAGTGGCGGCCTCCAAAGTCAACATGACGCATGGAACCTGCACTACTCAGTGGACACAGGTTTATTGAGTTAATGAAGCTGCAGTGACAGTCTCCGTCGCGCTCAGCCCTATCCCTTCCGTATCCCCTCAGTCCCTATTTCCCTCTGTTGTTTGTGTTTTGTTGATATGGACAGGACCCCAGAGAGCGCTGGTTGTTTTGTCGAGTCACCGCCGTCAGCGGGGCAGATGTCGGGACGGCGAGCAATCCGACGCCTGTTTATCGCCAGTGAGCAGCAGGTGATCTGTGTGCAACAAACAGCAAATAAATTAATTCAGTAAAATTCACACAAATTTAGTTAAATTGCTTAAATTATAATTTATCTACCGCATCAGCACAAACAATCATCCTATATTCATAGTCATGTTGATTAGTCATGTTGATTAGTCATATTGGGTGTAGCTCAGCCTTTCTACGGTGAGGAAACCATCCAATAATGCACAAATCATAGAGTGCGGCACAGGAAATAATCCCCAGCTTCACGTCGACGACACTTCATCTCCCAACTATCACCAACCAACACGCCGACCGACGCCGTGTCTGCCAACATTATTTGCTGTCTTCCTTTGTTCAAATATTATCTGTGCTGTCATTCCACAGCAAGATAATTAACGGCTGAGTCGCTGCCAGTTCTTCAAAGTTCCACCACCAAAACCCACTTCGATCTTCTAGTCGCGCCTATTGCTTGGAAATTTACAAACATCCAGGCCGCCTCGACAGTCCGAGACGGTTTGGACGAGACCTCTCACGCCGGCATGATGAACAGTCGTCATCTGCCGGCAGGGCAGGGGATGCATCATGACAACAGACGCCGACAATACAACCAGCACGGCCAGCACAACCAGCATTATCAACAACATCAGCAGCCGCCACAGCAAATGTATAATGCATACTACAATCAACCATACTATCCACAACAGCCTCCGCCGCCGCAGTACTACAACGCCGGGATGCCTCCGAACCAGTACAACCCATATGTAGTATATCGAGGGTCGCCATCCATGCCGTACCAACAATACCAGATCCCACCTGTCATGTCGACCCCCCCATATCCACACCCACTTCAACCGCCTGCGGTAGTCACAACACCATACCAACCTCATGTGCCTACAACACCTTCATCTACGCGTTCCTCATATATAGCTCCTGCGACAATCCCAGCTCCAGCCGCGCCTCCGCCAGTGGCTGAAGTTATCGCCCCTGCCCAACTACCTCCAACTTTTATTCCGCAGCTCGGCGCACCTCTGACTCCTCCCGTCCAAGAAGCTCCTCAGTTCCCCACAGAAACATCAGACGAAGAATCATCTGAGACTAGGATCCCATACTGGCCACAAGTAAGTAACCCATATCTGACTCACAGAGACAAGTTCTGACTTTACTAGCTCCCGTGGCACTCTAGACCCGACTTGCCATGGCCAGCCAGGTTAGCGAAACAAAAGAAACGAAAGACTGCGCCCAAGCAATCAACGGTGGTTGAGCAAAAGGATGTCCAACAATCGGGCCAAAGTGACTCGACGGTTTCAAACACCGTTGACACTACTGAAGCTTCCGTGCCTCGCTCCGAGACTCCATCCACAACACAAGCTCCCTCCGAACACGCTCCATCGACAAATCCCACGACGCCATCTTCTTCCCAGGCAACTCTACAACCTGCGGTCAGCTCTGCAAAATCTGCTCATCGCCACGTGCCTCCTCCAATCATGCCAGCACTCCCAAGAGTTCAAGCCAAACAATCACCAATTTCTGCCGAAGCTAAGTCGGATTCGCCCAAGGGGCCACCCCAAGATAAAAAGCCAGATTCAGATGCAGTTGCCAATGGACCAGACGTTCAAGCGCCGCAGGCTGATGCTGAGGCTGCCACGGCTGAGCCAACTCCAGCACCATCAGGGCCGAAATCCTGGGCCAACCTTTTCAAGGGACCTACCCAAGCCACACGCCTTGATACTGGCGTGTCAGGTTCTTCTACGACTGCTGCAGGCTTTGCGAAGTCGAACAACGAGTCATTGGCTGACGCCCTCGTTTCTTTCAATGCCAATATTCACAGCGGCAAAATCTCATTCCTCGAGCCGAGAGGCCTTGTTAATACCGGCAATATGTGTTATATGAACTCTGTAAGATTTAACTGCTGTACAAAAATCATTCCCCTCTAACAGCTACCAGGTACTTCAAGTTTTAGTCTTCTGTGTGCCTTTTTACGAACTTCTTGATCAAGTTGGCAAACGGGCGGCGCATAGTTTTAAAAGCGATACCCCATTAATCGACGCTATGTAAGTTTCCATTCCCATACTCATTAGACGATGTCTAACATTCTACAGGATTATGTTCATGCGCGAATTCCCTATTATCGATTCAGCTGTGTCTGTGGAGAAACTTAGAATGAGGTTGAAAGATAATGAGTTGGAAAAGTATGGGGATGCATTTACACCAGATTTTGTTTACGAGGTTATCAGAACCTTACCAAGATTTGCATCAATGAGGGTATGTACACTTTTCCATGAATCCGTACTTCCCTAACTAACTCTACTACAGCGCGGGCATCAGCAGGACACAGAGGAGTTTTTGGGGTTTTTGCTTGAAGGTCTTCACGATGAATGCGTACAGGTTATGCAGTCTACCAGTTCCGTCGATGGATCACCAATTGTGCCTTCATCGCCCGCTGTGAGCCAGGCTGGCTCGGTTTTTGGAGAAGGCGCAAACGGATGGCTGGAGGTTGGCCCAAAGCAAAAGGCTGCCATCACAAGATCCTCCGGCACAAGACTGGACTCACCAATCACAAAGATATTCGGTGGCACCCTTCGCTCGGTGCTCCGTGTTCCCGGACTTAAGGATTCCGTCACGATGGAGCCATACCAACCCCTCCAACTCGATATCCACCTCCCATCCGTGCACAACATCATTGACGCCTTGAAGGGTCTAACGAAGCCAGAGACCATCACCGGCGACTTCAAGTCCCCCCGCGGATCCAACGTCACGGCCACAAAGCAAGTCTCGATCGAAACGCTCCCGCCAATGCTCATCCTGCACCTCAAGCGCTTCCAATACGACAACAGCGGCGGCACGCAGAAGATCTGGAAGAAGGTTGGCTACCCCCTCGAGCTCGAGATTCCCAAGGAGGTCTTCGCGCGACAGAAGCAAGGTGGTATCCTCAACCACGGCGGCCTGCCTCGTTACCGTCTGACGGCCGTTGTGTACCACCACGGCAAGAACGCGAGCGGAGGCCACTACACGGTTGATGTGAGGCGCCAGGACGGGCGCGAGTGGGTGCGTCTCGATGATACGGTGATCCGTCGCGTTAAGTCTGAGGATGTGGCTGAGGGTGGTAGCGAGGAGGACCCCAAGGTCCTGGCTGCGGCGCTGGAGGCGCACAACAGGGATACGATCCCCATGGCGAACATCTTCGCGGGGATGAAGATGGATGATGAGGACGAGGAGGCGAGCGAGTGGAAGCAGGTTAATGGGGAGAAGGTGAATGGAGCGGGGAAGAAGTGGGCGAGTGTTGCGAATGGGGTTGCGGCGCCGGCGGGGAAGAAAACCGCGGCGGAGAAGTTTGGGATTAAGGATAATAAGGTGGCGTATCTGTTGTTTTACCAGAAAATCGAATGAGAGAGTGCGATTTAGGTGAGCGAGCGGAGTGGCTTAGGAACGGATGCGGGTGCGAGAGGGAGAGGATGCGACCAGGAGAGATGCGACTAGGAGAGATGCGACCAGGAGAGATGCGACCAGGAGAGATGCGACCAGGAGAGATGCGACCAGGAGGGATGCGACCAGGAGGGATGCGACCAGGAGACATGCGAGGATTTAGCGGATGCGAGGATTTGGATGTACTGTAAGCGGAGGCAGCGAGAAGTTCCTCGTTTGGGAGAGTGAGGTGGAGTGGTGCAGGTGGAGAGGAGAGGCGAAGTCGCGCGTGTGGTGGTGGTTGGGCGGCTTCAATGTATACTACTATACTGGTGTTTTTAGTCGTGTCAAAAGTGTGCGGCATAATCGAAGATCAAGCGCCCGCGCGAATATTACCAGACAGATCTATCCTCATCAAGCAGCGTGATAGTGTGAAGACGGGTCCAAACTGATGTGAGAGTATCACCTGCATGGGTACAGAATGAGAAGTTCTTGGCATCCATATACACAATTTCAAACCCAACATAATGGACACTTGCATACAGCCTATATACCCAACCAACGTGAGGCTCCTTCCCATTAACAGTCCCCATAACATACACGCCCTCAAGCAATGTATCAACCCCACTCCCTATCCGCGGCGACTACATCCAACTCTCCCTCCGCACAATCACCATCCTCCTCAGCACCACCACCCTCACCATCCTCCTCCACATCCATCTTTCCCTCCACCGCACCTTCAGCCTCGGTATCAGCGCGATGCGTACCCTCCCCTCCCCTACGAGCGCTGAGTATTTAATATAACTAAACTAACACCCCCAGGCGGCCTACGCCCTCTGCCTCGACAATTCATCCTCCTCCTCTTCACCTCTCGCTACCGCCCTGCACTCCGCCAGGTGATTAAATGGCTATGGTTCTTCGAGCTAACCGCCGTCGTTCTCCTCGCCATCGGTTTTGCGTGGCTGCTACTCGCAGATTTTGGGAGGGAGGCGCGGTCGGGTGGGTTGAGTGTAAATTATGTGTATCGCGATGCGGAGGATCTGGGGTGGAGGATGAGGGGGCCGTGGGTGTGGGGGTGATGTGAGTGGGCCCTCTCCTTGACTTGGATCGGTGGGTTGAAGGGGTGGAGAACGCTTGACTTTGGAGTAGGGTTTTGCATTTTGGATTTATGGTTTTGGGGTGTGTGGATGCGTGTATGGAGGAGAGGAGGGGGCGTTTAAGGGGTAGCGACTGCTCTCGGGCATACCAACCAGCAAGACATAAACATACACATCACATCACAGCAGGATACGGCACAATTCGAACATTAAAGCCCCTCCATTTTAGGTTTGACTCTCCATTGTTAGTTGTTTAGAAAACGCGTTTTGAAGTTAGTAGGTAGTAAGGTGGGGAAAGTGATCGACTTAGTGATATAATCAACTTAGTGATAAACCACGTTATATGTTTCGTTACGCCCCCTAGGAAGCAGTTCGAGTTTATCTTTCACGTTAGACATAAGCGGTTCCTTCTTAAGGTTGGCAATCATAAGGGACACCTATAAAAAAGTGACTTCTGCTTCCTTCTTTAGAACGGTTGTAACCATTTCTTTGACTCTATGTGTATATTTCTTTCGTTAGCAAGTCGATCAACCCAGTGTGTTAAATAGTATGAACCCGTATACTGCCAAGGAATGCACATGCCAGCATAAAGCACGTGCGTGATAGTTGCTCTACCAACATGATAATAACCTCAGTAACACAATGTTTATTTATCCTAAATTTTCCTATTTGGGACCCGCTCAGACTCTATGATGTCAGGAAAAGTGCTTGGCAGTATACGGGTTCATACTATTTAACACACTGGATAAACTCAAAATCGATATACTTAGAAAAGTCGTCGTTAATGTTAGTAGAGTTCATGAATAGACAAGTGCCTACGTTTGGCTTAGTAACCATACATCGTTACAAGAATATTCTAGCTCGACGGTTAATGGGTTTTTTCTAGCTAGCTCGCTTTGCTAAGCGAGCAGTGTAGTTAAGAAATGTAGTTCCTTACCTAGCTAACAGGGCAACCTTAGGTGTAATGGTGGGTGCACCAGATGTGAGAATCTAGCCACCCAGGGGAAGGGATGATTGTAATGGTGGGTGCACCAGATGTGAGAATCTAGCCACCCAAGGAAGGGATGAATTTACTAAGACAACACACTGTCTTAGAAAACAGAGCCAAAGGGTCGTAGCTTAGACTATTCCACAACGCAGCAATCAGGTGTATGATGTAGTGAAGTGGTTCAGACAAGTTGCAACAAATGTTGAGTCTGGGAACTCAGGGGTAAGTCAGGGGTTAACACCTCACTGACTTTTCAGAAACAAGGAGTAACAAGATCAATGCTTGGAAGCTTGGAAAAGACGTGGAAGTATGTGATAGTCGATTTACTGTATTGTCTGCTTGCCCTTTCTTAAGGAAAGGGCAATCCTATTTATGCTAAAGGAATGTAGTTCTCTCATTTTCCAAGACTTTCCATGACTTACCAGGCTTGGTAACTGTAGTCGACGTAAGAGAATCCCATAGAACCATCTCTTAGGTTCGTAGCCTATAGGAAGTAAAAGGAGGTCCAAGGTCAGAGTACCCCTATAGACAAATTATGTCATAGACAAATTATGTCACAGACAAATTATGTCATAACTTAACCAATCTTGTGGGTAACTAAAGAGCGATGACATGTAATGAATCATAGAGGTTTGTAGGAGCTTTTAGAGCTATCGCTCATGCTCCTAGGCCTCTAGTTGGTAGAGATATGTCATGTGGTAGTATGAGTTTTGTCATGTAATGAATCATAGAGGGTTGTAGAGATATGCTATGTGGTAATATCGGCCCAGTAACTAAGGAGCGATGACGTGTAATGAATCATAGATGGTTGTAGCAATCGTTGAGTAGTATTGCTCTTGTTGTTGGTGTGATAAGCCAAAATATGTATAGTGACTTGTAGGTTTGAGGAGGAGATTTCCAAGTTTGCTCTTGAGTTTGATAGCAAACTGAGTGCAACGAATGTCAGTATGACATGATCCCCCTTTTAAGGACGTTTGTTGGCTGTCTGCTTGCCCTTTAGCCAGGTGGCTTTCTTAGAAAGAAATTCTAGAATGAGCTTAGATGCATTTTTTAGATTTCTCTTAGGCTCCCAAGTGTTGTCACTTGTAGGATAGCCTTTCCACTTAACGAGGAAGTAGTCCTGACCTCTAAGTGTCATTTTGTCAAGGATAGACTCTACTTCATATTCTGGTTGATCCAAGATCAGAACAGGAGGTGGAGGAGACTGAAGTGGTCTTAAGGAACTTTCTTGTGCCTTAGACAAGAGAGATGCATGGAAGACATTATGGATAGTCCAAGTAGGTGGTAATGCAAGCTCGAAAGCATTCTTGCCAATAGTCCTTGTGATCTTAAAGGGTCCAAGTCTTTTAGTATCAAGTTTGTCTGATGGTCTAGTAGTTGTGATATGTCTTCTAGACAAAAAGACTTGATCACCAACTTTGAATTGTGGTGCAACCACCCCCCTGTTAAAGGCCTGAGCCTGCTCGTCTTGTGCACGCTGTATTTGGACCTTGAGATAGTCCTGGAGGCCCTTAAGGTAGATGATTCTTTCAGTAGCAGAAGGGTTTTTGAGATTTTCAGGACAATTCAGTTCTGCCACTTCAAACCTAGGGTGATAACCATAGTTTGCATAGAAAGGTGTCTCTTTTGTGGTGTTAGAGACCGTGTTGTTGTAAGCAAATTCTGCAAGATGGAGAAGATCTGCCCAGTTGTCTTGAGCATAGTTTGTATAAATTCTTAGATATTGTTCAAGTACAGAGTTGACTCTCTCTGTCTGGCCATCTGTTTGAGGGTGATAAGCTGTAGAAAAGCGTTGTTCCATGTTTAAGAGTTTAGAGAACTCCTTAAAAAAGTTTGAAGTGAAAACTGCTCCCCTATCTGAGATCCAGTGTCCAGGAATTCCATGATATTTAAAGACCACCTTGAGGAATAGCCACGCAAGTTCAGAAGCTGTGATAGTCTCATTGCAAGGCTCAAAGTGTGCCATTTTTGTGAGCCTTTCTACCACCACAAGGATAGAGTCATAAGGGGTAGCACCCCCTTTTGGGATAGAAGGAGGCAACTTGACTATAAAGTCAATGGATATGGAGTCCCATGGGCGTTCTGGTATAGGTAGAGGCTGCAAGAGGCCATAGGGCTTTTGCCGTGTAGGTTTGTTCAAGTTGCAAGTAGTGCAAGAAGATATATAGTCTTGAAGAGTAGTCCTTAGACTAGGCCAGTAGAACTTTCTTGTTAGAAGTTCATAAGTTTTTGCAAAGCCAAAGTGCCCTGCAGCTGGAGCATCATGGAACTGCTGTAGGAGGTGTAGCTGTAATCGTTTATCCCTTGGGACATAGATATAGCTCTTGAATAAGAGAAGTCCTTGCTGATTTTTTGAGAAATTTTGTAGTCCAACTTTCTCAAGAGAGGAGCCTTTCTTCTGGAGGTATTCCAAAGTTCTTTTGGCAAAGGGATCGTGGTTGTAAGCATCTTTGAATGCTTTAAGAAGTGTTGCTGAGGGTGTATAGTCTTTAAAGGTCTCTGGTTTCTGAGAAGAGGTAATGGGGGCAACTTGGTTTTGAGGGGATAAGTTTCCCTCTAAGTCCTCTGTAGTGCGAGGGTTGCTTAAAGATGCTGCTATAAGCTTTGTAGAGTCTAGCAGGGCCTTTGTATTGCTTGTTTTAGCAGAATCTTGGTAGTCATGTCTTCTTGAGAGGAGATCTGCTCTTTGATTCTTGGCCCCTGAGACATGTTTTATAACAAAGTCAAAACCTCCTAGTTGTTCAGACCACCTTGCTTGTCGTCGATTGAGCTGTTTAGTGGTTGTAAAGGTCAAGAGATTTGAATGGTCACTGTAAATAGTGATAGGATAGTTTGCCCCTTCAAGGTAGCATCTCCAATGCTTTAGAGAACATACTATGGCAAGCAGTTCCTTGTCTGTAATGGGATAGTTTTGTTCAGCTGCTGATAGCTTTCTTGAGTAAAATGCCACAGGCTGTAGCTCTTCTTGTTTGTCTTTTGGAGCTTGGTATAAGATTCCAGAAATGGCAAAATCTGAGGCATCTGTCTCAAGAGTGGCAGGTTTCAAGGGGTTAAAGTGTAGTAACATTTTCCCTTCTTTAAATTCTCCTTTAAGAGCATCGAAAGCATCTTGCTGTGTCTTATCCCAGTGATACAAAGTGTCCTTGTGAAGTAATTGAGTAAGGGGTAAAGCCAAGGATGTATATCTTGGTATAAACCTCCTGTAATAGTTGGCAAACCCAAGGAAAGACTGAACCTCTTTAATGCTGGAAGGAATAGGCCACGTTTGTACTGCTTTTGTCTTTTCAGGGTCCATCTGAATGCCTTCTGTTGAAATTCTATGTCCTAAGAAATCAACTTGAGACATATGGAAAAGACATTTCTCAAGTTTGTGTCATACTGACATTCGTTGCACTCAGTTTGCTATCAAACTCAAGAGCAAACTTAGAAATCTCCTCCTCAAACCCACAAGTCACCATACATATCTTGGCTTATCACACCAACAACAGAAGCAATACTACTCAACGATTACTGCAAACTCTTCTACTACATCTGTTTATGCTACATACATCACGGCATATCATTTGGACACTCATTGAACAAGTTATTAAGAAAATCTCCTCCTTAAGGGGGTGGGCCAATACTACCACATGGCATATCTCTACCAACTAGAGGCCTAGGAACATGAACGATAGCTCTATAAGCTTCTACAACCCTCTATGATTCATTACACGTCATCGCTCCTTAGTTACCCACAATATTGGTTAAGTTATGACATAATTTGTCTATAGGTACTCTGACCTTGGACCTCCTTTTCACTTCCTATAGGCTAGGAACCCAAGAGATGGTTCTATGGGATTCTCTTACGTTCACTACATGATTAGCAAGCTAGTTGTGGGTCGCACTTGATTTCTAATACATTTACCAAGCCTGGTTAGTCATGGAAAGTCATGGAAAATGAGAGAACTACACTCCTTTGGCATAAATAGGATTGCCCTTTCCTTAAGAAAGGGCA